TCCCCTCCTTACCTGAAGGCAGCGAGCACAAACAGGAAGGACAAGCCCTCCTCATCTCCACACCACCATCACACCCCCATCTAACCCCCTTCGTGCACACGCCTGCAGCCTTTGGGTCTAGACAAGCATAAGATATGCAATAAGAGGCCTCGTTCGGCAGGACCCAAGCGTGTTTCTCCTTGCTGTTGAAGAAAAACAACCTGATGATCAGTGTTAGCGTAAGGAGAGACATGCATGCATGGCCGCCCATCCATCCGCGTACTGGCGTAGAGGGCTGGGAGGGTGGCCGTGGTGATGCTGGTTGGTCTCGCTCTGATTTCCCTCCCTCCGCTTCCGAGGATCTTACCGAGAAAGCTAGTCACCATCCAGTACTTTCCTTTCGACACGTCATCGACGACGGTCCCCGACCGGAGATGCCCCTATGATTGTGTTGATCTCTCTTGGACCTTCCCCAGGAGGCGGCGATAGCCTTACCCCGAAGTTGTCTCATTTATTCTCGCGGTTTATCTGGGATCAGAAGATGGTCTCACTTCACTAGCCATGCCACACCACCATCACCGGCTGGGCTAACCGCACGGGGATCCGAGACGTGGTAAGCCACGTTTTTGTGTGCAAAAACTTGGATGGATAGATTGGTTGGGAATGGATGACGGTCATATTGTTACGACAATAACATCAGCAGCGCTCCTTTCTCTCCCTACTCTTGTCCTCAGTGCCGTTATGCCTTCCACCATCTTTGTCACACCTGATATCTGATATGATGATGATGAACAGCCAAGGTAACGGTAGAAGAGAGAGGGGGGGTATAATTGCTAGATAATGCACACTTGACACAACACACACACACATCAGCTACATGGTAGATACAGACACCAAGCCCTGCCTTCCTCTTTCTCGAAAATGGGTGGCCACAAATTTGGTATGGGTCTCGTCAACCAACCACAGCTGTTCTCCCATCAACATATGCCATCAGGCCACGGAGGAAGTTGCAGACCCCCACCGAAAGACCAAAAGCCTTCCCTCCGTTCCCCACTTTGAGGTCTCCCCCCCTCCGAAGCAGACCGGTATCCGCCCCCCCCCCCCCCTCTCTCTCCATTGTCCCTGACCTCTTTCCCCCATCCAACATTCGGCGCAGCTCTAGCGCTGGATTCTCCCTCACCACCACCTCCTCCCGTCCTATCCGTCCCGGTTGGTTGTCTTCCTGCATAGGCGTTGTATTCTGGTGGTGGTGGTGTTGGTGGTATCCTCGGATTCGTTTGATGTAGTCTTCTCCCCGCCTGATTGGCCGCAGAAAAAAAAATGAATTACAAAGATTGGTAATGACTGAAAGGGGTATTTTGGTTTCCGCTCCCGAAAAAGAAAGAATGCTAGTAAAAGAAAAAGACGAGGCCGCTGATGATGATAATGATGATGACTCGAGAAAAAGAAAAAAAAAAAAGGAAAAAGAAAAACGCCTTTCGCCTCCCCCTCCCGCCCGAACAAAAATACAAGAAAAAGCTGGTCATTCATTCATCAGGGTTTGGCATCGTTGTCGGGGTGTGGTTGTGTACAAGGTGAGGGTTTTCCGGCAAGTCCAGGAAAAAAAGGACATTGGTCGAAGGGACTGATGGGTTTTCAACCGTAGCAGAGAGGGCACTGTCCGGGCTGCATGATGTAGCGCTCGTGAGGGCCTCTGGGACACGAGCGTTGGCGGCTCCCGTCGACCGAGGTACGGAAGAAGTGTACCCCCGGGTCCATGCAGCCGGTGTAGATGTAGTAGTTTTTGGTGAAGTCGCACATTTTTGTGCTCGAGTGAAGTTGTGACCTTGACGACGGTTAGTTTGAGTGGCACAACAGAAGAACAAAACGGGGAGATATGTTACCTGGTAGGTGGTAGCCAAGTGTTGGCCGATATGTGTTGCTGTGGAGGTCAGGCTGATGTTGTTGAAGGGGATAGTTGATGAGGATGGAAGAAGACGAGGTGGTGACCCGAGTTTATATAAACAAAAAAGGAAAAAAGAAAAAAAAAGAAGGACCAAGTTGTGGATGGGGGTATACTTGAAATGCAACCGAGACCCAGTATAGATGGACCCCACTCGGGAGAGACGAAAGGGTCAAGACAAGAACAAGGTCAAAAAAAGGCTGAGGCGCAAATCAAGCGGGAGTGGTATGGAGAAAGAAAAAAGCGTTCAACACGCCCCCCTAGATAATGTCTCCTCGGGGCCCCTGTCTTGACCGTTGCGGGTGGGAACTGCAAACAAATAACCCGAATAGATATCAGAAACGTCAGTTGGTCCGAGCTGAGTGGCTTTCACAAGAACCAGCTTTGATGAAAGGTGTGGGTGTTCGCCTGGTGTGTGTGGTATGCTTGTGGATTCGTAAGCGCTTGACGAGGACCCCGCTAGAAATTATATCCTGGGGTATTGTGTGTAGGTGAAGTGATGGGAAACAACGCGGAAGGGTGTGTTTCCATGTTAAGAGCTGATGGAAACAAGGAGTATAACTCTGGCTTGGCACAATGCCTGTCTGTATGCATCTCCATGATACACAGGCAAGAAGAAGCCCTGCTCCGTGCGGGCTCACTCATCCTGTCAACCAGAAAGAAGAAAAGGTAGTGTACATGATGGGTCAAAGAGGAACATCCTCCCGGCCTAGGACACTCGGAGCGGCCCTGCCCTGGTCCTGGGTACAAGGTAGTTTGGCCGTCACATGTGGGGCGGGTAGAAAAGAAAACGGTCTGCGCGGCGATGGTGGGTACGGATGCTGAATGGTCCCTATCCATGCAGGTCATCGCACCGATGCGTGGTTTCGTCGAGGTTTTCGAACAGGGGATCGGGAATGGAGGTTCTTTGATGAAAAATGGTAAACAAAAGAGGACGGTGCAAGTGCAACTCCGGCTGCTGCACAACGGGCGGCGGGCTACCCAACAAACGGGCACCGCGTTGAGTGGAAGTCTCGAAAGGAAAAATAAGCACAACCGTCCGGCTCCTGAGACTGTGCACCTTGATGGACGTCATCCTTCATCTCGTGCCTGGAAGCCCAGCCAGGCCCCGGGGCTCAGGGCCTTCTCCGTCTCGAAGCGACGCGTGCATGCTGCGAGGTAAATCGACTGCTGCTCGCAGAAGCATTCCTGAGTGTGTGCCCTTGCATTCGCGAGCAAGACGACCCCTCGCCTGCGTCTGAGGGGCAGAGCTTGGAGCGCCGGAGCAAGGGGATGTTTTGGTGGGGTGGTGGGGTGACGAGCAGAGCTCAGGGGGTGGACGGACGGGAAGGTGGGATGTGGAGAAGGTGCACGGAAGGTGATGAGAAGCAGGACGACAGCTCTCAGCCGGAGTATGCCCGATCCCATCTTCTTCTTGGGCAGAAGCAGACGTGACTGATGAGAAGGGATTGGAGACTACAAAGAGCCAGCAGGAGGCTTGTGCGCAGAAGTCATGAAGACCTAGGCGAGAGGGTGTGTGGTGTGCTGCTACGAAAAGCCGGCCCTGGTCCACGCACTGACGACGCCGAGCAAATCCGCGACATCTCCAGAAGCTTTGGACCACTGATGCGCCGCTCCAAGGACGATCCGGTACTTGGTGACATGCGGGCGACCGTATTGGGGCGGTAATCGAGCTCTGGAGGACAGGAGGAAAAGAGGCCATGATAATTCGGAGCTGCTATAGTGTAGCATCAAGCGAGCAGATGACACTTTTTGTCGTGGGGATGTTCGACTGCGAGATTGGCACCACACCAGGTCCAATATCAGACAAACAGTCCGCATGAATATCCACCATCTTGCCCGAGTTTGCGTTTCTGCGGACCCGAATGCAAGAGCTTGACGTTTAGCTTTCCAGGGATGTCTATGTGTGTTGTACATACACATGGCGGTGTTCGCTGGGTTGGATATTGGGTCACAGGTCGCGAAGAAGGCAGCGATGAGGCACATCGCATTGAGCCGTTAAGAGTACCAGCTCCACATGACTGTCCATCGTTTTTCTTTTGAACGCCATTGGACACACAAAGATTACATTGAAGGCGGACTTATGGTGGAGTTGGTTTCGGGACACAAGACAGTGGGACCGCCATTTGCCAGACAGTTTCGAGAAACCGATGGCGAGGTCAAAGCGATGGTGTCAAGAGCGCGCTTTGCGTACCGTAACATCGCCCAGTACACTCATGCACGCAGGCTTCAGGGCGCAAGGTCCATCCAGATCTGGGCTGTCGACAATAAGGATGCTTGAGCTTGACAGCTTGGCTTTCCCTTCCGGGAGATTCGAAACCGCTTTTGGTTTTTTGAGATGAACACCCACAGACGCTTGCGGTAGTATCCAAAGATGCAACGTCGCCCAGCTTGCGAATCAAGTCGACAATATTAAACAGCCCGAGGGAGAACCTTGAACAGAGCTGCTGATTCCGCTTGTGTGTCTGGATTACTTGTTGAAGACTATACAGACTGCTAAGACTGCAGTTCTGTAAACCAACGTACGTTGTTGTGGTCCGTGATAAGCTTGCATCTAGACCAGTACGGAAGATCTCAGTGAACTGCCGGTGCTCGAGATGCGCTCTGCTCTGAAGCGATGTCTCAGGCTGGCCGTGGGAGGCTGATCCGGGCTGCCCAAAACGGAGATGCGATCTGCCGGCTGAAGATACTTCCCACGGAGCACGTCGTCAAGCCCGCCGAAAGCGCTGCGGGGAAAGCTTCCATGCTCTAGCAAGCACGCAAGGTCGGTTGATCTGCGCAGGGGCCACGAGGGAAGCCTCATTGAGAAGAACCTGTTGATGAAGTCGGCACGTTGGTGAATCTGCCTGCTGGTTGTCAACCGATAAGCGCTCTGTTGGCGATTCTTCCGGTTTAACAAAGGTTTTGCCTGTCAATAGCAGGGCCGGTAAGGTGAAAGGGCGCTAATATATGGCCGAGGAGGTTGTCCTGAGGCTATTTCTGGCATATTAGGTCCTTGCCTAACACTTCTCTCATCAGTTGTCCCATATTTCAGTTGTAGCTGGGACGAACCCCCACTACGACACGGCACGATGCGAGGATATCTATCATTGTGGACAGGTAGAGACGTGTATCTCGGTGGTTGTCTCTGATACCTACCCAACCTCAAGATGTGACTGATCAACAGTGAGCGGAGCGTGTCTCGTGTGGGTAGTCGTTGGAAAAGGTCAATATGGTCAACAAATTGCTTGCTATCAACCCCGCTTGCCTCGTGCTGCATGGATGGGAATGGGGCATTCCGTCATACGTTTGCGGGTCCGATTTGGCGAGTATCTTTTTTCATCACAACGGCGACCGAATGTAACATCAGCGAGCTTCGTCGCTTGGCTAAGCGGTGTCGTCTTCCGCCAAGTCGACAATGGCCGGACGGACAATGTCTTGAGAGAGTCGAGGCGGAAGGTCTTGACGCTTCACGGTCCAGTTCCCCGGTCTGCCACCCGTTCTTCCCAGGGCCAGGGGGAGGGCGCATAAACATCTCGATGGCGGATGCAGCCACAACGTTCCGCGACGATCACAAACGTCGAGCACCTCGTGCGGAATCAGGAAGGTGCGTGGGAGCGTGGGAGCGTGGGAGCGTGGAAGCGTCGTCGTTATGCGCAACTGGACTCGGATGAGGCTGTTTTGGGTTGCGAGGAGGGGGTGCCCTGTCTTTTGGTCACTGATCAGCCGGAATGGCAGCCGTTGTGCTGTCCATGATTCGTCGTCGTAGGCAATGGCTGTTGAGACGACGTTGCAGTGGGCCCGAGGGAAGTGCACAGAGCTCCCAATGATGGCCAGCATACGGAATCACACACGGTGGCACGGCGGACGCGGGCGGCAGGGATACCAAAAAAAGGATGGGATCGAGAAGGCGCTGGGACGCTCAGATGATGGCATGGCGAGGAAGACCTGCAATGCAGCCCGAACACGTTTTCTGCGAGCACTGAGGTGACGACTTGGTTCCTGTTCCTGTAAAAGCCCCTGGTCCTGGACCCCACAACTTGAGCCCCACCATCTGCAGGGAATTCCGCATTCGTCAAAGAGCGAAACACCAGTCATTGCCCCCCATCCCGTTGCCCGCATCACAGGGCAAGGAACGGCCCGAGCTCATCTTCATGTCCGCCAGCAGAGGAAACGACACCTTCATCAACTCAACTCCATACATCTTCCCAAGCATTTGTGGCCGCCGCCAAAACACATATTGTTTGTTGTTTGGAGAAGAGCCTGCATCTCTGGCGCTTGGCACTCGAAGCCAGCATCAAAACGCTATCCATACCTTACCTACGCTCAGGCATTCTTTGTTCAGTCGTGTCTTCCCCAAGCCCAAGCTACCGTAACGGAACAGATGCATCAACACGATAGACGGTGGGGCGACAGCGCCATAATTCTTGGTTACAACATCCCATCAGGCCGAAATGTTGTTCAAGAAACTTGAGATGAGGTGGTACTTCGTATCAGGTCACCAGACGGGATATCTCCGGCATTGGGACGGCTCCCCTTTTGCTTCAAAATCTTCCGACCTGGTATCGGAGTAATAACCGTGTCATAATATGCTGATACTATGCGATAATCTCAAAGCCTTCACCACCAAAGTCGTCTGATATGCGGTGATGAACCCGTCCAATTATCACCTGCGTCGGGATGCATGTAGCGCTCTGACGGGACGCGGACATTGGGACAGGATGTAACAGCAAATCGCTGCCGAGTGGGCCGTCCAAATCCACCTCGACCGCCGAGCTCGCCGAGTCTAACGCAGTGGCATCTTCGAGACATGCCGGGGTTTCCGGAGCAAGCCGGAGCTGGTCGATCGGCGACCTCGCAACCCGAAACCCATGCCGGACCGGTGATTGAGCAACCCCCCTCGATGGCAATCCTCGAGCCCAAGGGAAAGTCACAACTGCAAGTCAGTTCTTCTCGTGCATGAAGATGTACATATGCAGTGCATGTTTCTCTTCTCACAGATGCACGAAAACCAGGTTCCCTCGATATATTTCTTGGCAATGCTTCCCGCACCCAGCAAGATGCCGGTCGTCCTGTTGTGACAGCGCGCCGCATCCGCTTAGATTTCTCCTCCAAGCCTAGCTTGCTACCAATATAATATCAAAACTCAGGATCCGCTGCCATGCCGCTTTGTCAGAACGCCAGTCTCCCTTTTTCCTGCAGCAGACAGGAGTTGAAAGCCCAACATGGCATCGCTCGTCGTTTCCCTTCGCAGTTTCGGCAGCGGACCCCTGCTCGCACATTAAACCTCTTTTGGAGCCAGGAAATGTACGAGATCGCCGACTTGGAGACAAAATCTCCATCGTTTCTTACGTGGGGTACAATACGACGTTGTCTCCTCTTGGTGGGGGTTCCTATACTATGTAGGTAGTCTTTGGGCAATTGCATTGACGAGATTCCTTTCCTGATGCACCATTCTCCATCATATCATCCCCACACTCTTCTTGTCATTGCTCCCCCTCCGCTCGAACGAAGGCCCGGTCACCAGTGGACAAAAATTGTGTTTCCTGCAACACAACAAGACGCATTGGCCAAGGTTACTTCGTCCCCCGCCCCAAGAGCGTTTCACCGCCGGCTTGTGGTGAGCTCCAGAGAAGGAAAAAAAATGGATGGAAGCAAGCCTTCCGGAGATTGATGAAAAAAAATGCCACGTGCCCAAGGTGTGATTCGTTCCACATTGCCAACCCCATCACCTTAGGAATGCAGCTCGCCGTTTTCTGTGCTCTGTCTCCTCTCTCCGTCGTTTTCCTGTTTCTCTGAAACGGTGGGTTTCACGTGGAGAAATGCCGCGTGGGCTTGGTCCTCCACTTACTCCAGAGAACGTCACTCCCGCGGCTTGGTCGTATTCGGTTTGTTTGCCTCGTGGACGTCGACTTTTTTTTTTTTTTTTTTTTTTTTGTTGCGTACACACCTTTGCTCCACTTTGTACGAAATGTAGGTACCTAATCTGGTGATCCTTGGCGGAGGTGGATGGAAAAAGGAATTGTGGCATCACGGAGCTTTCCGTGGGGATTTCTATTTGGCAGGTATAGACGGTCACCCGTGGCAGTCAAGCCGGCGGTTTTTGATGGGTTAGCGTTGCGAATGTTAGCCGAGGTGCCGAAAGGCGGTGATGATTGAGATTCATACCAGTTCTTTTGTCTGCGTTGCTCATGATGTATTCTGAGATGACAAACGGTATCTGTGAGCAGATGTCAGACAGGTAGCCAGGGTAGTAGGCTACCAGAACCCCACAAGGCAGACGCGTGAAAGGGTAATCTACATATGAATGCACGTTTCTGAACGTGCATGCATCAGCCGAGGACCCCGTTCTCGGTGGCTGAGAGTCGGTATAGGTAAAGATTGATCATGGGTGAAGGGGTTGGATGAGAAAGTATGTCTTACTACTAGTAGCATGCACACCTGAGATTAGCTATGAGACACATTGGAGATGATATCCCTCCTTGTCCCCATACATCTGGAGGTTTTTTGCTTCTAATAATATCACTACAGGTACCTATTCAGATGTCACTCTTGACTGAACACGGACGGCTCTTTTTGTTGTTTTGTGAAGTTTAATGTGTAAAAGTCACCTGGGAGGTATTCAAAAGCTCTAGAGAAGACAAACACTGAAAGTACCTATTTGGAGAGGCTGTAATGCTACTTACTAGTCCATAGCAGAACACGTGGCGGATGTATTCAAGCTTGCCTCCACGATCCGCTCCAAACTCTCCGTCATGTCAGTTAGCCTGTCATCTCGCTTCTCAAATACTCTCTTGGCCACATTGAACCTGTAGCCGACGTCGTTCCATTCAATATTCCACTCGATCTCTGGTGTGGTCTCCAAGTACTCGATGAATCTCGCAATGTCGGGCTTGTCCGCCGGTTTATATGTAACCACGCGTTTGAGAGACCTGGGCTTGATAGGCGCACCGTAGGCTAAGACGGTCTTGAGCATCTTCAGGGAGCAATTCGACCGATGGCCACGTTCAATCACCTGGCTGGGACGCAAAAAAAAGAATGATATCCTTCAACAACCGGGACTTGGGCCTCGCCACTCATTTGCTCCCAGGCTTGGTCGGGTGAGATGCCAGATATTCTATCATCAGAGTCGTCGACGAACTCGCTCAATCCCAGTCCGTTTTCGATGCAGATTCTCATTATATCCTTTGCCCTGGCATATCCAGCAGTAAGCAAGAACAAATCCGTATTTTGGACTAGCAAGGTGGAGATCTGCGCCACTTCCCAACAGAAAAAGCGAACTGATCCGCGCAACGGGATAAAGCCACTGCATGAAGACATGTTCCTGGCTTCCCCCCTCACAAGGTTGATATTTGCACCGTGCCGAAGGGGAGTTTGTATAAGTGCTGTGCCTGTATCGCCGTTGTTATTTGCAGCTGCACACTGGAGGGGAGTAGCCGGCTGAGCCTCGAAATATTGAAACTCAAAGCCCTCGTTAGGATCAACCCCTGCTTCGAGTAGCTTGGTTGCTAGAGCGGTGGAGGCATCACTGTGAGTTTGAATTAGACATAGAAATTGAAGAGGGCTTCCCAAGTATGACTGTCGCCTTGTATCAGCTTCCAGCGACAACAGTCATTCTACCATGTCCATGGTTTTGTGAAACTCGTCTCGGCGTGATAGCAGAACCATATGGAGTGGCGAAAGGCTGAGCGACAAGCGTTTGTCAAGGGTCAAGTTGACATCAACTTGTCCGCTGCGAAGCAATATTTCCATCGTTTCCCGCGTATCGGTTGATACTACCAGCCCCATTGCAGCACCCAAGATACGTGCGTCATGGTTCTGAGTCTTTCATCCAAAAGCCTCTGGACGGTCCGATACAGATTTGCCTTGCCTGCACAAATGATTGGTTGTTCTACCAAATCCTGTGACAAAACCTGCGTCCATGATAGTTCAGGCCAACGGGGTGATATTGGCATTTCCAACTCCTCCGGTATCACAAACCTGGAGTGGTTGGCGCGAGTTTGGAATGACGCACGTTGCCAATTCAAATATGCGCCCGCGAAATCCCCGCTGAGAAATTCAAAGAGGAGTTTATCAAGCGTGTCACACCCCACGTGTTCGCCGTTTGCATCTCTTGAATGGGTCGCCCAAAATATCTGCGCATGGACAGTAAAGGGGTACCTCTTCAGTGTTGTTGGCTGAAACGATACGAGGTTGTCGTGATAGAGCAGGCAGGCAAGACATAATTTGCCATGACACGACTCCCCTCTCCAGCACTGAGTGCAAATCTGCTGGCCTTTCCAAGTTCGATCTCTTTGGATACCAGATACTCCTTGACCGTGAAATGCGCCAGCCGTATGTGAGCTCGCCGACTGTGAGGTCTCGCTTCGCAAAAGAGAGGGCTAGCAGTACCAGTCGAATATCTCTGAGACTTCTTGTTTCCAGTCGTGCCAGTATTCGTTCATACGTGGCGGGAGGATCTTGTGGGAGTGATAACAACACTTCGTCAATCTCCTCGGAACTAGTGCATATTTCCAAGGCGTCAAGTTGGCATTATGCCCAGCGGAACCTGTTCAACTATGAGTTAAAGACCGGAGCTCAGGATGTCGTATGTCTTGCAACAATACTGACATGCCCGCAGCCTTCGAAGTCAGAACCTCGCGAACTTTTCTTTTGACAATGTCATCCCATTCTTTCATGTCATCTGAGGATTTCATCCTATGGTCAATATACAGGCCGATGTCTGCATCGACGTCGACACCTACTAGTCTTGTCCTGGTGGGAGCGTCTTGTAGTACAAGTTCAATATCCCTTTCTGGACGGCTGAGTACGAGAAGATGCACGCCAGAGACTCCTGAAATAGTCTTGATATGCTTCAAAAGGGTCTGCCTCTCCACACATTCATCTAGGGCATCTACTACCACAAATATTTTGGGGAAATGACCGAGGCCCGTAACAACGACTTCGAGCAAGTCGTCTAGAGATGGATCTTTGGCACTGGAAGCAATGGTTTTATCATGGAAGGCTTGGAGCGATCTGAGGCATGCGGGACTCCAAGCCGCCATCTGCGCCAATAGCGACCGAAGCATGGCGTGTACGTGTTGCTGCATCTCGATCTGGAAGTCAAAATAGTAGAAAATGACCGGCGTTGAGGACCCATCTTCTTGGCGAAGGAGGTTTGCGACGATGGCTGAACTGATGATGGTTTTGCCTGCACCCGGGATGCCAGTGAGCCAAAGAAACTCTGCACGCTGCTGCCAATCCTTGAAAACGGGACACTCGAGGAACCACGTCCCAGTTCCCGGCTCCCACTTTGCGAGCGCATTGCGGAGATTGCGCCAGACATCGGGCGCTCTAAGCCATTGAAGTGATTACCGGCTGGATTCGGTTTGGATATGCTGCTCCAACATGGCAGATTGCGAAGCAACAATACTTTCAATGCCCAGTAATACCGCCCTGTCAGTGTGTGCAACATTGCAAGAATGTCAGTTTGCTGTTGTTGGGTAGTCCTCGACTTGAACTCTGGAAGGAAGGACCGATATCGCCTCCAATTCGAGGTGGCAGTGCGGTTGGTTGCCTTCCAGGCCTCAACAGGCGCAGTCATGCACCTGTCCCACATTAAACAATAGGAGGTTTTAGGTAGGTATGATAAGGTGGGCAGTTTTCTGATTGGTTCCTTGATTACACACATCTTTTGGAGCACATGTGATAGACAGAGTGAAGAATGGTGATATTTAATGACCATGTAAGAAACGAGCACCTCGGTCTATCGTTTGGTTCTGAAACGCAACAAGCCAAACACTGCCAGAAAAAGTATGTACATAGAAAAACCCCTCAAACCGTTGAACTCCTTGCCAATCATTTCTCGTGAAACCAGTGGTCGTCAATGCCGCCCAGGCTTATTGCTGTCCAGTCGCTGTCACCTCCACTTTGGGCTTGTCATCTTGCACTTTCAAATTCTTCATGTCTGACGATATCCCTGTGAATGGACACACACCAGCTGTCGGACCATCTTTGCCTTTTTGTCCGCTGGCGGGGCAGGCTGTTGCTGTGTCATCGCTGCCCTCAGAAATAGCATCTTGCTCGTTAAGAACCTTCTTTCCGTGCAGCCAGCCTTCCTTTTCGATTTCGCCAAAGTCCATGCCGTCGGTGAACTCCTCCCCATCATGGACATACCACTTGGTGAACAGGTCGTTCTGAATCCAGATGACCTTGCCAAGGGCTTTGACGATGGCGATCTTGCGTTGGATGTGTAGACGAGGATGGGAGAGGATAGCCTCGGTGAGAACATCTTGGATAACAGCGAGTCCGGCGCCGATGTGAATGTACTCAATGTGTAATGGGTGCGTTCGGCCAATGCCTGTGTGCATCATGCCAACCTTGTCGAGGTACTCCCAGAACTCCATCTGCGCAGGATCTGAACACAACTTCTTAAGATATGCTCTGAGAAACATTTTGCGATGAAGAATCTGGGGGCTGTCCTCGTCTGGCGTGTCGTCCATGGGACCTTCGAAGGCTGTGGACCTTGTCGTAAAAGCCCGGGCGGTGATGTCATACTGCAAAAGTTTCTTGTACACAATGTTGACAACCGCTGGGATGAGGGCCTGGATATATTTGCTGCCGCTCTTCAATGCTTCGATGTCACCTGGTAAAGTCGTTAGTGTTGCTCATGCTGGGATAGCCTGGCATAAGGAAGACACTCACTGACACCGAAGTCAAGAAAAGAATGCAAGTACTTGACACGAGCCTCCAGACTGGTGTAGAGACTCTTGCGGTCAATGTGCTGCATCGGACGATTTCGTGATGCTGGCATCGTGATATGGTTGCGGATGTCTTGTGGAGTGGAAGGAGAGAATGATAGAGGTTGGAGGGTTGCCGTTTAGGGATAGTCGGTGTAAGTGGAGACAACCGAAATCTGGGGTCGAACAGGGGTGATTGCAGAGTGGGAGGATGAGGCTCAGAAGACCAAATGATGCTGAGGTCAAGATATCAAAGAGGAAGAGGAGATACTGAGCTTTTCAAGCATTCCATCGAGTCAACTAGTCACGAGTTTGGTGTTGCGTGGTGTGACCATGACGCATGGGCTCAAGGTGGTGTGATGTTGAAGGCCACATCGAACCATTTGGTGTCGGACCTAATTAACGACACCTGATTGGTCACACTGGGGCCATTTACACCACAAATGGAAAGAGCCCCAGTGTCAACAGGCGCTCTCTCGCCCTGGGAATAAATACATAGATACTGTGCGATTTCTTATGGGATTTCAGTTTTCCCGCTGTAGACCGACAGCAATTGCTACCTTCCATCGGCCAGATACAGTAGGGAGTGATACATTTTCAGCACGCCACGGCCCACAACCTCAACATCAACTTGTTTGCCTCACATCAACTAGGTACATCAACCAGAGACTCAGCTTGTCGATTATGACTAACAAGCCCGAAGTCACGCTGGACAATTTGCACTGGGTTCATACACCGCTGGGAAAGATGATGACAGAATGCGATCTGAGTTGCACTTCTGATTTCGACCTCAACCTCACGAGCAAGACGAATCTGGCATAGATAGCGACTCTCTTGACCCTTGCATGGTATTCCGAGGGTTTATGTGCAATGCGGAAACGCTGAAAGACAGTGCACATCGACCGGTGCTAACGAGTAAGATCTTTCTCCGCTGACCAAGTCGCCCGCAGTGGGCTACAGGAGCCCCAAGTCAAATTCCAACGCACGGAACCCTGAGCATATTGAGGGAGGCCAAGAGCCGCGGTGGTCTTATGATGTTAAGGATAAACTTTTCCTGCCCCTCGGTTCAGTGTGTTGTTTACCTGGTATTCCAAGTGGTCGATTTTCACTTATCAAGCGGCAATATTCCTCGAGATACAAGACGGACTTCAACATAACTACAGGGAACGGCTACAGTATCGAGGGCTAGCTAGAAAATGACCCGAAGCTATAGTTGCACTATCTTGGAATTGGTCTCACCTTTCCGCAGGGAATTGCTCAGTCATGCTGTGTTCAGGAGCATATTCAAGCATATCTTATGTGTTGGCAACAGGCCCTTGCAGCACTGACATTGATTTTAGACAAGCGTGATGCCAACAACTGAGGTGATAGCAACATCCACCCCAGCTTTGATTGTGCTGTTAGTGGTAAGCCATCTTTTGGCGAGGACATTCGTAAAGGCAGTCCCTTCAAGCGTTAACTGACTACGTAGCTCATAGAGAACAAAACAAGCTATCCCAGTAACCGTCGCCATGTTGAAATGCTGTGTGGACTTAGGGGTGTTGGTCGGAACGTTCGTCTGGAACTGAAACTACGATATCCGCGTCAAAGGAATTAGACTGCGTCATTCAAGACTTGACATATCCGGTCTTAAAAACCGTGAGTTAACCGCGATTCGCCATCCACGCCCCTGATGAATGAGTATTATCACGCTTTCACAGAGTGACCACTGTACCTTCGTTGGCAATTCGTCTGGGAGTCGGCCTTGTGAAGGTGAAGCTGAAACCAACCAAATCCATGGTATCAGCCTCATAACTGAAACCCATCTCGTTTGAAGCTGCTTTCAGTCAAAATCTACCATTGTCTCGCTCTGCAAAAAAGAGTGAAACTGTCCCAATATTTCCAGTCGGACGCAAAAGAATATTCAAATCCGCATTTATGATGTCACCGGCGGATGGTCAACATACGAGCCCTGGTCGATTGGAGACTTGCTGTTGAAGTGGCCTATCTGCATCATTCGCCTAGTTATGCCTCCAATAAGGTCAGGCAGCGGTCATTCTGCAGCGCGTCTGACGTTGAAGGGCATTGAGGATGTGAGGTCACCAAGAAGACGAGGTCGGGACATCGGCCTGGGGGTTGGGATCGAAACGATAGCTCTGGACTAGGTTGCTGTCATGCCACGGATTGTGTTGGATTGAAATGCATGCTGGCGTCAGGAGGTTGATATTGAGTGGCAAAAGCCGGCTGAAAAAAGGTGGGTGAGGCTGTCCTTGATTGGCACATGTCCCAGTATCAAGAGTGGGATGAAAAGGGAAAAGGGCACATGAGAAAATTTATTTTGGCTGTTGCTCTGCAGTTCCGTCACGGTCATCATTGGTTGCCTGCAACTATATGCCTCATGGTGGTCTGCCGTCGACCTTGGCACTTGTGGTTGAGGATCTTGACCAGCCTCTATTCAGGACCCTTATTTTGCCATGGATCCCTATGGGGTTAGGGTAGATCGACATGGCCCTCCATATTCACGATGAACAGTGGGGGCATTTTGGGGGTTCTTTGGTGGTGGGACAAACTCTTGACTCGACGACGGGATCGAGGCCACGGGTGCGACTCTTGTTGAACGTAACAAATGGCATCGAGTAAAAGAAAAACGGGGACCGCGGTAGAAAAAGAGACGGGTTGCACTCGTCTGCAACTGCTGCCGAGCAAAGTGTTTGGAGCACAAAAAGACAAATCACAATTAGATATTCGGCGGCTCCCATTTGTCGGGCGCTCGTCGTTGTACGAGGAGGTATTATGCAGCGCGGGGCAGGGAGCCAATCGGCTGGCAGCGATAAGCTTACTTCTCGGCGGCGGCTCCTGTGGGTGGGATCATGCGAGGGGAAAGCTCCAGGGAAGCTTGCTCCCCTCTGCCCCTCGTTTGTCCTGATGGTGGTCCTATCTCGGGAACTCAGCCCCAGATACTGGAATGCGACCGCGTCCAGTCCCAAATGGGTGTCTGAATGCGTTTCTTGGGCGTCTTTGTCAGAGAGATTATCACGGCTCTCACCCCGCGATCACCCGTGAACCACCTGCCACCCCCAGATAACCGGCCTGGGCTCATACCTTATCTCGTCGCGAGCCAGCGCCGCCGCGTTTGATTGCGCCGCTGTCCGTTATCGGGTGCTGAAGCTTTAACCCCACGATCCCCGCCATCGCCACTGACAGACGAACCCTCCTTCATATGAAACCTCCCTTCTGCAGTCTCTATTAAAATCCCCAAACCTCCCCAGGGAACACCGTTGCGCCCTGTCCTTTCAGACTCTTCCAGATTTCTGAAGTTTGAGCTCAGTCCTCCCACCGTGCCCTCACATAATCCGCAATCATGGTATGTGACCCCGCCAACACCAACACTCCGGCCTGCTTGGCGTACAGCCCTTCGGGCCCTGCCATCTTCAGGTTTCCGCAGATTCCCATGTGCGCGTACAATGCCGCCGATGGCATTCTTGCGTCGCTGTTTGGAGAGCCGAGCTAACCACCATGTTCGACGACGACTGCAGGCGACTACCGAGTCCTTCCTCTCCAATGCCCAGAACGTGAGCAAGACCCGACTCTGACTTTGGCGCCGGCCAAGCCGCCGCTATTTCTGCGACTCGTGCTGACTGATTGGCGTGCAGCTCCAGAAGTTCCTGACTCTGGACCAAAGGGGGAAGATCATGGCCGAGTACATCTGGTGAGTCCCCCACGCGGCCCCCCCCCCCCCCCCCCCTCCCCCCCTCGATCCCGCTCATCCCTGCACCTGGAACCGCAGCCAATGAGGGCCAATGAGGGGAAAACGACCGTTAACAGAATGTGTCTAGGATTGATGCTGAAGGTGGTACCCGTTCCAAGTCGAGAGTAAGCAAAGAGTCCGAAACCGAAAGCACAAATCCGACGCATACTTACCAGTCTCCTGCAAACAGACACTCGACGAGAAGGAGGGCGGCTACACTCCGGATGATCTTCCCATCTGGAACTTCGATGGTTCCTCCACCGGCCAGGCCCCCGGCGACAACTCGGACGTCTACCTGAAGCCCGTAGCGGTTTTCCCCGATCCGTTCCGTCTCGGCAACAACATTCTCGTCCTTTCCGAGTGCATCGACAACGATGGCAACCCCAACAAGTATAACTTCCGTCATGAGACCGCCAAGCTGATGGAGGCTCACGCCGCTCACGAGCCCTGGTTCGGCCTTGAGCAAGAATACACTCTCCTCGACCTCAACGATCGTCCCTATGGCTGGTATGTGCTTCCACCCACGTGTATTTTGGAACGATGTGAGACAGATGCTGATTGGATCCCAGGCCCAAGAACGGTTTCCCCGCCCCTCAGGGTCCTTACTACTGTGGTGTGGGTGCCGGCAAGGTTGTGCAGCGTGACATCGTCGAGGCTCACTACCGTGCCTGTCTGTACGCCGGTGTGAAGATCTCTGGTACCAATGCCGAGGTGATGCGTAGGTTTTCCTGTGATTCGGTGCAAGGTTGGACCCGAGGTTGCTAACATGCACAATAGCCGCCCAGTGGGAGTTCCAGGTCGGCCCCTGCCTCGGTATCGAGATGGGTGACCACCTCTGGCTTGCCAGATTCCTTCTGCACCGCATTGCCGAGGAGTTCGGCGCCAAGGTCTCCGTCCACCCCAAGCCTATTCCTGGCGACTGGAACGGTGCTGGTCTCCACTCCAACTTCTCTACCAAGGAGATGCGTCAAGAGGTACGATGATTGATGGGACATAGTGGTTCTCACTCGGGAACATATACTGACGACTTTGGTTACAGGGCGGCATGAAGTACATCGAGGCTGCTATCGAGAAGCTCGGCAAGAGGCACCAAGAGCATATCGCCGTCTACGGCGAGGACAACGAGAAGCGTCTCACCGGCAGACACGAGACTGGTGCTATCGATCAGTTCTCGTATGGTGTTGCCAACCGTGGCTGCTCTATCCGCATTCCAAGAGAATGCGCCGCTAAGGGCTACGGCTACTTCGAGGATCGTCGCCCAGCCTCCAACGCTGACCCTTACCAGATTACTGGCATCATCATGGAGACGTATGTTCCCCCTTCTCCGCTCCGAGTGAACGACACAGGCTAACTTGTCACAGTTGCTTCGGTGCTGTATAAACGCTGCATATCAACCTATCAACGATACCATTTCGATTTGACTGCCCACTTCACTGTACGGGAGGGATATTATTATTGGCGTTCGGGATATCAAGCTGAGGCTTTTCATTTGATCTTGCAGTCTTTTCGTTGTGGTTGAAGGTAGAATGACTAGGTAGTATGACAATTTAGCGATGAACAACCTTTCGTGTCCCTGCTCTTCGTGTATAAGTCGGCGATATATTTCCTTTTACGGACGGTATCCATCCCTTGATGTCAACATGGACCAGGGCTGTCAATGGAAGCTTGGCACCTTGAGTGCCGGCATGAGTCACCGGGGATTATCCATATAAGCTTTTTTTCTAGATTCTTAATTGTATGTTCCGGATTTTCATCTTTTCAAGCTCGATTACCAAATCAACGTCAACAACAAAATGTCTAGTCCACCAAAGGTTCTGGTCACTGGCTCGTCCGGCCATCTGGGCAAAGCGCTCATGCTTACCCTGTCACACTACGGGTTCACTCCGATTGGCATTGGTGATTCCACTCTTCCCTTTGATCCACTCCTTATTTTTTAGAAGTTGATACTGATTGTAAAACAGACATCAAGCCCAGCCCGCTCACCACCCACGTCGGCACCATCGCCGACCCGGACTTTGTCTCGTCCGTTTTCACGACGCTCCATCCTGACCTAGAATATGTAATCCACACTGCCACGTTGCACAAACCGCACATTTGCTCGCACACAAAGGCGGACTTCATCGCCACAAACATCACGGGGACGTTGAATCTGCTTGAAGCGAGCGTTGCGAGGCAAGGGGGGGTCAAGACTTTTGTTTTTGTCTCCACCACCTCTGCCTTTGGGGGCAGTCTGACGGCTAGACCTGGCTTACCGGCCGTGTGGATTGATGAGGGGGTGGTTCCCAAACCGAAGAATGTCTATGGGGTTACCAAGATAAGTGCGGAGGATGTGTGCGAGTTGGTTAACAAGGAGAGCGGGTTGCCGGTTGTGGTGTTGAGGACGAGTAGATTCTTTCCCGAGGGGGATGATGACGAGGAGAGGAGGGGGAGTATGGGGGATGATAATTTGAAAGTGTTGGAGTTGGGCTATAGGAGGGTAGATATCGCTGATGTAGTGGGGGCATGCGTGAAAGCGATGGAGAAGGGGCCGGGGTTGAAAGGGAAGTGGGGAAAGTACATCATTTCTGCGCCGACGGTGTTCAAAAGGGAGGAACTAGTGTTGAAGGGGTTAGATAGGGACGCTGGGGAAGAGTATTGCAAGGCGGTGGAGGGGGCGAGGGAGGTTTTTGAAGGGAAGGGGTGGAAGTTTTTGAAGAGGGTGGATAGGGTTTATGATAGTGATTTGGCGAGGCGGGAGCTGGGGTGGGAGGCCGTGTATACTTTTGAGAGGGCAGTAAAGAAGGTGAAGGAGGGAAAGGACTGGAGGAGTGAGTTGACGGGGAGGGTGGGGAAGTTGGGGTATCATGATGTAAGTACGGGAGTGTATACTATCAGAGAGGAGACACAGCAACTACCGTGAACAGATGTTTTGGTTATATTCACATAGATATATCTTTTTGGATGGAAATTCCATTGCAACTGTATGGAAAGCCCTTTGAATCCAGATAACTGTCCCGAAAACGCCCCTGAAGCAGCGCAATCATGTAGTAGAAGAAGAAAGAAAATCATCCTCGGTAAAGTCATCGATTGGTCCTGCTGTGTAAGGCGCGTCTCCCTTCCAATCCTTGCACAGTAGCTGGTGGGTCCAGTATTCATCGTCCTTGTACATGTCCAGACTCTTCCAGTTGGCATGCTTGGAACCTTCACGGGCAAGCTCTTGCTGCACAAAGGCCATGTACTCAATCTGGTCGCTGGTCATGTTGTGGTTTCCTGTCTTCAGCTCATTCTCCGGTATCGTGAGAGGAAATGACCCGGAGCAGGCGTAGTGAAAGCACGAGAGCAGAGATTTGGAGGCGTGAATGTAACCTCTTGTCAGTTGTCCCCCACGATTGCCCATCTTGAGGCCCTTCCACGTTGTCATGGCAATCATGTCTTTGATGATCCAACCGGTGTTAGACATCATCACGAAAAGCGTGAGGTAAATCTCCAGCCAGTTGGAGCGCTTCTTCTCGTCAATCTTTGCCTTGAGCCGCTTGAGAAGCTCTTCTCTCATTGGCGCTAACAGATCTGCAATTACCAAGTTGTCGAGCTGCGTATCCATGATTGGTGTTACTGGGATGAAGCCATCGTAAGGATGGCCGGCCTCGGCGGTGGGGTGAGCCCCGATTTCCTCACCACCCTCGAAGACACGCCAGTGACTTTCAATGAACCGTGCGGCAACCCAGGTGTCGAGGGCAAGAGATACCAGTTTGCTCTGTACCTCTGGTTAGTTAGGCCTCCCCCAGCAGTCACAATTAAGCTTACCTGACCAAAAGCTGAGAATCTCAAAGCAGACTCAAACGTCTTTCGAGTTATCGGGCTGGCATCACCGAGTAGGGTGTCAATGTAGACGGAGCGAGCATTGCGAAGAAACTCGACAACACTGGCTTTGGCGGCATCCATGTCGCTGATGAAGTAGGGCGGCATCTCCATGGAACGCAATAGCCCGGTCTTCTCGTCAGTCCAGAAGTACGCAGTGCGGTCTCCTGGTCCAGGCTTGAATCTGGACACCTGGAGACGCAGTGCATTGTCCATTCCCTCCCCGAAACCTTGAGTAAGTTTGAACACTCGAGTGGTGTTGTCAAAAGTGTGCCATTCCAGCTGGGCCTGTTTCTGAGGAAGCCAGGTATCGAGTTCTGAATATTTTGTCGGACCCTTTCGGTGCAGAGGAAGGCCAAGGATCTCGATTCTGACACAGGGCTGAACCTTGAAAGGGCCTCCATTCTGCATCCTCTTGAGGTCATTCAGGTACAACTTTAGGCATCTTGCGCATGGTGTGTATTGCAGTTCCATTTGGACACACTTGATACCGAAGTTAGCAAGATGCACGGGAAAATGGGCACTGGTTGGAAGAACTCACCTTGAGCTTTTGTTTCCTACACTTTTCGCAGGCACCATGCTCCCGGTTGTATCGAGTGTTCTGTTTCTCTTCCTCGCTGGCTTCCTTGCGCACCGTTTGATGCTTCCCCCAGACCTCCACGACTGACTGCAGTTTACCACTTGCGTCTTTCTTCTTCGATATCACGGAAGCCTAAAGGAAAAGTAAGTTACGATACATCGATGTTATTTGAGAAGGTTGGGTCGTACTTCATTCTCCAGCAGCACGTTCTTTCTTTTGGTCACAGAACGTGGCTTTCTCTCTGTGATCGGAGGTCTCCCATTGTGAGGACGGGCTGCCTTTGGGATCCTCTTTGTGGGCCTGGCAGGATCGTACTGAAGAAACTGAACTTGCTGGGTGGGTGTGGTCGTAGGACTCTCAACGGGTGACAGTGTCTTGGAGGCGACAGTCTTGGGCGATTCTGATAAGGGGTTGGACGTCACTGTCTTCGGGGATATAGACAGAGTCTGGGATGAGAGACCTAATGTGTCGGGGCTCGATAGTTGGATAACTGGTTGGACTTGTGGCAGTGGGGAAGACCGAATTTGACCAAGCTCAGGTTCCTTAGCGAAAGATTCCAAAGGGGCCTCCAAGTCGAGAAAGTCCTGACCACCCAGCGCACCATCAAACAGACCGAAAAGCTCCACCTCAGATACGATCGGCTCGTCTTGCTCATTCTTGTTCAAGTCATTCACCAGCACTTGGTGGTGAATCTCAGGGAATAGCTCTTCCAACCCTGCGGGCGGGAGAGGAGCCTGAGCATTCGAGAAAGGAAGGGGGCTCGGAAAAGGAGGAAACACAGAAGCCTCAATCAGGGCCATGTTTTCATCGAGTGGAAGTAAAGGTCCTGGCCATGATGGCCATCTCTCCTCCCAGAATTCCTCATGCCCTTCAACCTGACCGAATTGTGGTGCCTGGGGATACATGTTGCGCAGCGTGGGCTGTGGATTATCCAAATGTAACTTGAATATTGAAACGACAAGGAGGCCCGGTAGTTTGGGAGGGATAAAACCGCGTGATAGCACAGGATGGGGTATGTGTCCCAGATATTTGTGGCCGGAACGTTGAGCCGTACAAACAAGGAAGGTCAAGAGGATATCGACTGTGTGTACGCTGCAGGGAGACTTGTAAACGGGGCGATGGCTCCATGATCTGCCTGTGTAACTCAGATATCAGTGCATTTTCTCATCAAAATAGGGTGACAAAACCCCTCAGTTTGCCCAGCTGTTGTGACAAGTGAGTATGCAAGCACGGGGGGAGATCGGTACATGCCGTCACATTTACTCCCAGAATGCTTCAACAGGGAATTGTGTGGCTTGGAGTGGCCGACTACCGAATTGGGTAATCGGCTTCCTTCTGGGTGACCGGACGGGCAGCTGCAGGACGAACCAATCACACTTTTACCCCAACACCCCGCTATCCAGCCCACCTCAAAGGCAACCGCGATACAAGAAGGCTCCAGGAGATCCAATTCTAGGCGGCCACGTTCCTGCGCCTCAGTCCCAGATTTAAAACGTTCTCAATCAAGGAATTGGAATTTGACACTCTCTCTTGGCCGTCAAGGTGCGCAAGGCAGAATCCACCCAAGTCCGAGTCCCGCTCTGGACAACCCAGCTCAGCCCCCAGATCATCTCTGACGATTGCAAGGGCCATCCACACCTTTCACCCTGCCTGACCGAGCCTGATAGCATCTGGTATTACCAACCATGGGCGGTGGACCTTATGAATTGTACCGCGAGCGTTATGGTGCCGAGATTCTCGTCATGCGGAAAGCCACCAAGAACGACCTCGACGCCATCACTCGGGTCATCCAGGCTGGTTTTCCCGACGACCCAGGTTGCAACTACAAGTTTCCATACCGTGACAAATACCCGGAGGACTTCTGGAAGTACACACGCCGACAGTATGAGGAGTACCTAGAGCAGCCAGAAAAGTTCGCCTTCAACGTTGTCACAGTGACCAATGAGGAGGCAGGACTCGATGACCTCCCCATTGCTATTGGTGTCTGGGATATTGCTGTTCACATCAAGGCCAAAGGCGGAGGTAAGATTATTGTACTCTGGTGCCAGCTCGCTGACTGATCTTGTGTAACCTGGAGTAGATCTCTTCATTGACGAACGACGGGATGGTAACCGGGAACACATGAAGGCATACGCAGCCGCTATGGAACGGACATTTGCGAAATGCTTTGAGTCGTATGGGAAGGAGCAACTTCACCTTTGGATGCTCGTAACGCACCCTGACTTTCGCCAGCGTGGTGCTGGAACCAGACTGTGTGACTGGGGTGTTGATGAGTCCGCGAGAAGAGGTGGTTGGATTTTGACTGTTATGGCCAGTCCAATGGGCAGGAAGCTTTATGAGGAACTTGGTTACGTTTTGGTCGGCACCGACACGGCACGAGTGGGTGGAGAAGAAGAGCATGTTGTTATTGACGCTTTGGAGAAGCCGTTCTCACGACACACTATCTAGCACAGCAGAAATATCATGCGTTTCGTCATTCGTAAGGTTTCCAACTTATGGGTTTCCAACTTATGGGTTTCCGAGCCCGCCACGAACACAGAACGGCGCTTCCCGAATGTCAAGCGCGTCCATATACTATACAAAAATGCTCCACCCACGATTCGGTTCTTTGTGTTCAGCTTCGCTATTGAGAAAAGATTAACCTACGGCTCATCTCTTCCAAGTATCGCTCCAGCATGCCATATTCGGCTCTCCTCCTTTCGAGCTGCACATGGTGCTCTAGACTAATCCTTCGTCTCGCATCATAGGATGTAGCTGTGGTGCGAAGTTGGGAACTGTCGGGGGGTAGCATGATGGCGTGGACGTATTGTTTGCATAATATTGACTTGGCCCTGAAGCTAAATATGTTGCCACCCTGTGCCGTGCCTATCTCGACAGAAGACGGGACTGTGACTTCATGATAGGGGATTGCCCAGGCACCCACTCCCAAGAGGTCGTATTCCATAGTGTTTCCCGCCGATTTCGGTGAGGCCTGTCTCGAACGAGACCTTTGATATAAAGTTAGTGGCTGCTCACTCATTGCCACAGAAAGGTAGAGATCATACCTGTCACCATGCACACTGTTGCCTCTGTCTAGCTGACTATAGGCTCCCTCCACAGGACTGCAGGTTGTTGGAAATTTCGAGCCTTGCATGGTAGGTATCAAGACATCAGATGCATCTGTTTTGTCTGAAAGGGGACAAATGATTCAACCGAGATGCCGGACGAAAGTTTTCTTATAACATTCCGAACGCGCCTCAAAATGTTATCCCCATCTTTTAGCTATCACTGACTCTTCATTTCACAGTCAAAGCTCTACATAACTTCTACACGGTCATCATCCTCCCCCGAATGCCCAAAAGGGAAGTCGGTACCTATGAGAAGTCAGTTTTTGGAACTGTTGGCTTTGAAAACCCTCCTGGGCGACACGCAGAATTCATCACTTATAGTGTGATGGGGCTTGCTAGACTCTTGGCTCGCCCGGGGAGCGCTCATCAAGATGATAATCACATGTTGCGCGCTTGCCGAATGTCGAAAGGGGGTCGCAGAGTCGAGGCCGAGTGCCCCAAATGGTTTAGTTTGATCCTGCAGGCTGACTGGCAGGCCTGCTGTGCAACAATCTGCCACCTGCCAGCACGTCCAACCACACGGCAACTTTCTCAGCCCCAGATATCTCCAAGCACTCGTCGGGCCAAGAGGCAACACGAAGCTGGGGAGAACGTGAAAAGGTTCGATGGGCTCTGAGGCTTGAATCTGTGAGGGTTATTATTCTTTTCGTTCGATGTAAATCACGCATCCCGCTGCCCTCCTTCCACCCTGCTTCCGTGAGCGCTCCATTGTGTGTCCTCCCTCCTTCCTGCGTCATGTCTGCCACCCACCACAATGCAAGGCCGGAGGGCACTTTTCTTTCAGCAGTTGCCGACCATGCTCAGATCGACGAAGCAAACTCGAGCAACCTGAATGAACAGGACCCGCTTCTCCCCTTATCAAGTCCTCGTGATGAGGCATCGACCGCCTCCGAAAACGGTCTTTTGTGGTTGATGGGCCCCGCGTTACTGGCTGGGTGTGTCCTCCTTGCATCTTCAAACTTTACCACAACCGAACATTCTTAACACGGTCAAGCATCTTTGTGAAAGCTTTTGATATTGCGTTTCTAGCCACGAGCTACTCCCGTCTCGGTGAGCGTCTTCGTACAACAAGCCCTGAACGACTCTTACTGACGAAAAAAAACTGAATCTAGCTTCTGACCTTCAACATTTCAAGGATGCATCCTGGGTTATGCTTACGGCGTCGATATGTTCAGCCATCTTTGTGCCAGTGGTGACTCATTTGAACCTAGCATTAGATTTTCAGGTCCACGAAGCTGATGTCATCACAGTACTCTTACCTTCTCGCATATCATGGGATCAAACGGATGATGTTCATTGCGTATGGATCATTCGCGTTCGGGCTTACCCTTTGGTATGTGCCTACCCACCTACTGAGGCATATGATTCAGCTACCGCTGACATGGCATACAGCACCATTAGCACATCATTTTGGCAACTCCTGGGCTCTAGATTTGTCGTGGGCTTTGGCTCATCAGGGATCACTCTGCTCTCCATGATCGTCATCAATGGTTTGTCATTCAACACCTGAGCACAGTGAAAGTGCTGACGAAGGGTAGAAATTGTTGGCGTCAAACAGCTCGCAATCTGGGAAAGTTTTGTTACATGCATCGAAATGGGAACTAGCATGGCAGCAGGGCCTCTGGGTGCTTGGATGTACAGGTCATTCGGTTGGCATTCGTGTGTCTCGACTTTCACGCAACCTTTTGTCGTATGGCACGTGCTAACCAGGCCACCAGCGCCTTTCTCCTAGAGGTCTTATTCGCCCTCACTGGAGTGGTCGTGCTCCATTGGTCATTTAAAAAGATTGCCTGTCACGCACGGTACTCACAGTCCACTTTGCTCAAGCACGGCGATCCATCTCAGCTGCCATCCCACGCAGATGGAGGAGGTTGGCTGTTGCTCATTTTGGCGGTAACCACACCTCTCGTTGCCTTCACGCTCGGCGACAATATTCTCCGCTGGACAGATCCTCTAGAAGTGGCCCTCCTCATTCTCGGTCCGTTGTTTATGGTGACGTTCGTGGTCTACGAGCTCAAGATCGCCTCTTTCCCCGTTATTGACATGACACCAATTTTCACGAAGAAGTATCTGAGTGTCCTGTTTCAAGTGTTTGGAGTTATTTCCATTTTGAATTCGGTGTGATTACTCGCTTCGTACCTTATCCAGTATGGCTAGCTGCTAACGAGACTTAGATTGTTTTCATCATACCACCTTACATCCAAGTACGCGCCTTCGATGGCCCATCGTTTGAGGATTGGGCCTTGACCTGTGTGTTTCTTGGGTTTCCCATCGGTGCCATTTCTGGCGGGTATCTAATTAAGAACAATATCCTCCCAGTGCAGCGTATTATGCTTGCAAACGCCATGGCATTGGGAGCATGCTGCTCTCTGTTTGCTATGCGATTAATTAGTAAGGTGATGTCTTGTTTTCTTGGACAAACGCCAATGCTGACGAGTCAAAGAACCCGAAGTAGCGCAACATGCGCCATTGCTTGTTGTTTTTGGTATCAGTACTGGCTTGTGGCAGAGCTGTCTGCTCTATGCCACTTTGTCGAGCACGGAAAAGAAATGTATTGCCTATCGTGTCCACAGACATACAACCTCACGCGCTAACATATCTATCTTAGGGTGGCCCCAAACACTAGCATTGTACTACCTCATCGAGACTTTTGGAGCGGACTTGGGCATGGCGCTTATGTCTACGATAACTCGGTCGGTTGCAAAGATTGGCATTCGCTCCCGCCTGGGTGATTCCAAGACCACGGAGAGAATTATTCTTGATGCCATGAGAGATTTGAAAGGTGTCAGGAGACTCAACGCAGGTGCACGCACGGCAGTTCTGGTGGCTTTTGAAAATGGGATGCACACCGCATTCTGTGAGTACTGTCTCTTGAGTTTGCTGCCACCCTATGATCTCCATACTTAAGAGACCAAAGGAAGTCCTGCTAATACCTAATATGGAAGTTGTGCCTTGCTCACTGGCGGCAATGGTAATCATTCTGGCTGCAGCCATGAACATCAAACATCTGGACAAGAATCCTGAAAGGAGTGACAACGAGGCAATAGCACCAACCAACTAAGAGGGGAAAAGTTTGGGAATGCTCTTAGCCATTGGAGAGGGCTCCAGAGCCAGCCCAGATCCGACCATCGGGCAATGATTCGTCCTTCACACTGAGCTGCCATTTTTCAGTCCTGCCCCCGTCTTCTTGGTTCGGGCCATAGACACGCTCCAGATACCAGCCGAGATGTTGAGGAAGTTCCCACGCCAACTCTGGATCCTGCAGCATTAGCTTGACGAGATGACGCTTTGAGGGCAGTGGGTTGCCCTCTTCGTCCACGTCAAAGGCGCTGCGAGCATGCATCAGACACAAGTTGTTAATGTACGCCATATCTCCAGGTTCCCGAGGCAACGGGAAAGCATGCTTCCACGCCAGTTCTTCCACCTTGGCCATGGCCTCAAGACGCTTCTCACTGGGCGGAGGGAGAGTGGGGTTCGCACCCTGGCTTCGAAAGCCTGTGATGGGCAGCCTTGAGAACTGGAACACCAACTTGTCCCCCGGGGCGTTCGTCAGGAGAGGAGTCCCGTCGGTGTAGTAGTCCTGGGAGCTATTCTCATATCAGCAAATTGCAACAAACTGGAGTATCCAGAGCACAACTTACTGGAAGAAAGCCCAGTTTTGGGCAAGCTCTTGAATCAGATCATGCCGACTTTCTGCCATCTCGTTGTAGATTTGGCAAGCACTGGCAATCATCGTTTCACCACCTGTATCGGATACGCCCAGCGTATGGAGAGCGAGAATATCGCCGACGTCGGTATGGAACGCCTTCATCGGGTTAGCCAATTGCTTCTCACCTTCTGGAGCAGGCTCACCAGTCGGCCATTGGTAAATGCAGGTCTCAAATTCTGCTCCTTCGAGCCAGGTCTCATATCCTCACTCAGGACATGGCAAGTGACGAGCTCACGGTGAACATCTTGGAATCCGCGAGTGGGTGCGATGTACGAGGATATGCCGCCAAAGACAAGCACATTCTCCTCGTCGGTGAAACGATCAGGAGAGATACCACGAACAATGGCAAACCCACGACCATTGTAGCAGTCTTGAGATACCTTCCGAAGCCTGTGGCTCAGCCCCTTGGGGAGAGGGAAAGTGTCGCGACTTAAAAGACCAGGCGGCACGTTCAGACCTGATGACCACTTTCTGTCAGCTTCATCAACACAGGTCAAGGGGCCGGGAGGTTCATGGCTCCATTACCTTGAAAATGGCGGAGAGCATTCTCCACCTCAAGCAAGTCGTCTTTGTCGATCTGCACGATGTAACTCTTCTCGAGGTTGGGGTCTAACCACTTGGATCCTGTCCACACCCTCTCACCCTCGTACTGAGAGGGGAACCCAGGTAGAGTTTCCCCTGTCCCTCTCTTGAAAGCCGCTGAAGTGGTGGTACTGGGATACAAGCTCTGTGCATAGTAGTCTATGCGACCAGGAGCTGATGCAGTGATAGCAGCCATCTTCATAAGCCAAGGCGGCCTTCGTCTCTGCCTGTCTGGTTGCGTCGTCTTTCTCTTCAAAATACGTGTCGAAAGAGAGTCATCGCCATCTATTAGTACCTCGATGCCCCCCAGCCTGGTGAGGCTCTGTTACCCCAATTGCCGCTATTGACCCCGCTTTCCGATCAAGGTTCACAGTTGGGGTTGCGACAACAGAACGTGGGATGAGTGCAGCAAAGCCTGGGGAGGTGGTGTCCAGCATCTCTTGATTACTGGTGGGAGTGATGCAAATATCAATATCGATCTGCACATCATCGGGGTGCACAGCTTGGTGGAGGAACCAATGATGGATTCTTTTGTAATCGCTGGTTGTACCAATTCTCGGGCAGGCAAGGGATCATCAAATGGGATTCTTGGCCTTCTCGTGAAGGATTTCGGTTTGGGATGGGGAGAAGTGCAGTTTGAGGCCGTCAGAAACCGGATATGGGATGCAGATTCTCGGAGAAGGGGAAGGATGAAGCCATCATATGATGTGTTTGTGTTGCATCCTGGGATCTCTTTCAGGTGGGAGCTAGAATGGGGAGGTGCGTGCAATGGAAACTCTGGCAGGAAACGGAAATGCGGAGAGCTGGAGGGGAAGGTGAGAGCGACAAGGAACATGATGGTAGTGGGTTGGAGAAGCAAAGAGGTGGCAGAAGGATGGTCACATTGCATGATTGGAAGTGCGAGGCAGCATTGCTAAGAAGTCATTTCGGTGATGATCCCGCAGTTGGGCTGCACCAGCTTCCATCATCTGTTTCTAGCTGGCAATCTTGGACCCCTATCATTTCCCACACATCAGGAAGCACCTAGGAAGTCAAAAAAAGGAAGAAAAGCACAAAGAGAAATCAAGCAGTCACAGAGCGATACCCCCCTGGCTTGCTCCGAGTAGCCCGCTCGACACGCTCATACCGCGCTGCGTTGCCCACATCATCAAACTTGGCATTGCGGTGATACACAGAGATCTCGACAAAAGGAGCTCCCTCTGGGATATCGATATCGCTTCCAGTGTGCTATCATCCATTTTCATCAGCATGTTGACCACAGACGCTTTGCGGGCAAAGTGGGTCCGCCCGACAACGCCTGCTCAGGGGCTAGATAGGGGCAATAAAGGGGCCAATGGGTGCGCTAAACAAACGAGACTAACCCCAACAAAGAAACAGAGTAAACAAAGGACGATAAACTTACAGATCGGATGCTCCAATGCAGGTGTTTTTCTAGGTACTCCCCCACAGTGTCGGACTCCAAGCTGGGCAGCTCATGAATACCGTGAGGCAAGTTGCCGTTGTGGATGGCCGGGTGTCGGGCGATGAGCGCGCCGGTGATGGGGACTTGAGCGCGGGATTTGGTGTCGGTGAGGGCTTTGCGGCGGCAGTTGCCGCAGCCGGGGGCGGCGCGGTTGCGGTGGATGGGGTTGGAGAAGGTGTAAATGAAGCCGACGTGTTGGGGGTGGGTGTGAAGGGGGTCAGAGTAGGAGGGAGGGGAGAAGGGGGTGCCGAGGAAAAAGTAGATTGTGTAGGGGATCCCGTTGAAGGCGAAGCGGTTGTAGGTGACGTTGACGATTATGTCTTTGTTGAAGTCGGGTTGGCCGAGGGGGCTGGTTAAGGAGCGAGGGATGGAGGAGATCTCGGTCGGGGCGCCGATTTCGCCCGGGGAGTAGATGGCTTTGATCATGGCTTTGATGTCGGCCACGTAGAGGCTCGCGTCGAAGTTGCCGTGAGTGTCTTTGTACTTGTCTAGCCAGGGTTGGAGTTCAGGGTAGGTGTAGCCTAGTTTGTGGATGTCTCTCACGTCATCCGAGGTGTAGTAGTTACCTTCGGCATCCTTGTGGAAAGGAGCGAGGGGAGTGGAGGGGGTGTCGAGGTCGCCGGTTCTGATGTACCAGTTCCCGTCGTCTTCCAGCTGCTCGTTGCGTGACTCGAACCAGTTTTTGGTGGGATCCAAGAGGGAGATGCCTTGCCAGAGGGCAAATTGGCGATCGACGTTGGCGTGGTGCATCCAGAAGATGGGGTCATAGGCCGCGACGGCGGGCTCGGCCATGTGGCCGACGTATTTGTCAAAGCCGCCGGTCCAGTTGTGGATGTTATTGTGGATATACTCCAGGTTGAGGTAGGCGGCTGGTGAGCCGGGGTCATAGTCGGGGGAGGTGCGGAATTTGGTGGTCGCGAACTGGGTGTAGGAGGCAATGTAGTCGTGGACGTAGAGGCGGTAGACCATCTCGGCGAGGGGAACGTTGTCAATGCCTTTACCGTACCAAGGATGTTCGTTGAGTGTGGAAGTGATGAGAGAGTTGCGGACGGTGCCCTCGGTCCATTGGGTGGAGACGGTGTCGGATTCGGGCTCGTAAGTGGCCCAGCGAGAGGTTGCTTGGGCCTTGGAGAACTAGCGGTTGTTAGTGTGATGAAATCTTTGACTGGGACAAAAGTCATACCGGAATGGTCGTGATGTTGTTGTTGGCGTCAGTGTCCTGGATGTCGCTAATCCCGAAACAACCCATCCTTTCCTCATCAGGCATCGTGAACTTATACATTGGATTATCAATGTAAAACACAGTCACCCCGTCCTTAAGATCAATGACACTGATTCTAGGCTGCTTGGTGATGAGTGGGACATCGTACAGGGTCTCATCCTGCCCCTCTCGTGTCTTCTTCTGGGCCCAATCCCAATAGGGGAGACGCCAAGTGGCAGCAGCGTCCGTCCATTCCTGTTGCTTATCTTCTGGGAGCTGGGGAATTACTTGCTTGACCATGATCTCGTACAAGACTTGCTCATAGAGAAGCATGTAAGGGCGGTGCCAGGAGGGAAAGAGGAGACTGTCGTGGGTGCAGTAGCCCTCGTTGGCAGTGATGGCGTCTGTGTCTTCATCCCATGGTTGGTATGGCATGCCATGTATGCCGGCGATCTGGAAGAAGGAGAGCTTATGATCGGGATCACGCTCTTGGAGGAAGCGGAGGGCCCAGATGAAGAGGTTGTTCTGGATGAGGTGTTCGGGCGTTTGGCCGGGATACCAGGTGTCCACCTCTAGACGAAGGGGGACTGTGGTACCAGTAATGCCGGCTTTGATGCCCGTCACAGGGTAGACAGGAGACATGACAATCGATGAGCGGAGAAACGAGATTCAGAAGTCTTGATGTTCAGCGAATGTGTTTATTTGTTGCAGTCTGTAGGAGAGGGAAGAGCGTCAAAACTCAGCCTCTTATAGCAAAAGCCCCAAATCTCTACTGCCAGTGTTTCTTTCTCCCAAGGTAGTAGGTATCATATCTATGCCCCTGAAATGTTCTCACTGCTTACGCGTCAGAAGTAGGTCTCCTTGCCAGCAGACGCCCTCAGTCATTGTCTCCATCATTCATTACCGTATTCACAACCACTCTACACACCAACATGTAGAGACTAAGCTTCAACGAGAATCCATTGGTGAACTCGACCTAGTTGTCATGCATCCTTCTTTCAGCAGCGCCACAATCCACTCCTACACAAAGTTCTGACCACCTACTGGACACAAAGTTCTGACAACGGGACAGCCGCTGTCCAGCCCGTCGGTTATGCACCATGATGAGGGGTCAAAAGGGATGTAGACACGGGCCGAGAAACAAGCCACCAATCCCGTGCTTCAGGACATTTATTCCGGCTCGTCAAATATGCGGTGTTACTTTCAAGAACATGACGGTCATGAAAAACGGCATCATTTCATGCTGCTCGCAATTGTGGCCAGCTGAGACAAAATTGTCAACTCCAATGCCATGTCTGCCGGGTGGTGATCTTGTCCCTGTTTCCTAGTGCATGCATTTATTCACAACCTTTACAAGCGAGAATCTTTCCCTTTTAGGGATTTTCAGCTGGGTTCGGTGAATCTGAAGGAATTTGGCGATGTTTTCAGCTTCATTTCTGAGGGTTGATCCTATCTCAGAGGGCAATACTGCGACCTTGTGACTGAATGCCAAGGCTTGAGCGAGAGGCCCGAATACTGCTCAGATGTAGTGAGGCGATGTTATTTGACGGAAGGAAAATTGGGGGATGTGTTGAGGGGAATCTGCAGGTTGCCCAAAGTCCAATGGGAAGTCTCCTCTTGCATGTACCCATTGTTTTGATATCTTCACTGAAGAACGGGGACACTAAAAGGATGACAGACGTAGAAATTGATGAAGCACACAGCCATACTAGGTACTGAGGGCAGTGAGCTCCTCGCCGAGGGTCAAAAAGCATATAAGACTCACAATCCAGCAAGAACTGTCAGCTGAAATAACAGCATCAGTCACAAGTCAAGAATCTTTCCATACCATCCAATCCCCAATCATCAAGATGTCCTTCAACTTCCTCCCAAACACTGCTCTCGCAGCCTGCGTCAACGATGCAGGCGAGATCTTCACTTACGCCCAAACCTACAACGGCGAGCTTGTTGAAATCAAGGGAAAGCTCGCTGGCAATCCCGCAACCTACGAAGTCACTGGCGACCAAACAGGCATAGGCCTCACCAAAGAGTCCGGCAGCGCTCCCGCCAAGCGCTTCACTCCCCTCGCTGCCATCAACTCCAAATCCATCTACTACAACGCCAAACGCCTCGTCTTCTTCGTCGACAAGCAAAACTACCTCCGCGACATATACTTCAACGGAACCAAGTGGGTTGAAGGCGAGCTTTACGACCAGAGATGGCAGTGCGCCCCTTACTCCAAGCTCGCCGCTGTCCGCCTTGTCAACCACGGAGGCTACGACTTCGTCTGCCTGTACTACCAGGACACATCGGACACAGGCAACATCGTCCTAGTCAACCACAGCCCTACCTACAAATGGCAGACTGGCAACCCGCCCCTGGATGACCCCCCTCTCGTCGGCACAGCCCTCACTGCCGTGCCCCCTCAGCCAGGAATCGAAGTCATCCGCTACAACAACCCCACCGACACAGACGACCCGGTCGTCTTCTTCCAGTATGACAAACTCGAACTTGGTTCCTCCCAAGATCAAGGACCCAACGGTCAGTCCCCACTTTTGCCCCTGACTCTGTTAGCTTCTGTACATACCCTATTTCTTCTAACATCCTGCTCACAGACTACGCAACCTACTCCATCAACGATAAAACCATCACCCTCTCCGCTCACTCAGCCATTACCGCCGTCGATGACAAATCCAACTTCTGGGCTTTCTACACGACCGACCTCCAAAACCAGATCTTCCGGCTCAAAGTCGATGCATCTGGCGCCGTGACCCAGCCGCAGCCGGTTGTGCTGGCCAACAACCCTATCCCGGGGTCTTCTCTTGCCTCCATCATTGTCAAGGGCAGTCCTGATGTTGTCGTTTTGTTTTACCTCCTGCATTACGAGCCGGTCAAGGAGACCACCCAGGAGATCAACGTCTTCGCTGCGACTTTGACTGCCAAGAGTGGAGGTGTTGATGCATGGGACGTCGATGGTGGTGTCTGCTTGACCGCAGGGAACAGTTGACTATCCGACTCTGGATCTGACGGTGGTGATGATGGGAATCCTGGTGGGGATGATGATGGCGGTGATGATGATGGGGGCAATGGTGGCTTCCCTGGTTGGCCTGGGAATGGAGGTGATGACGATGGGGGTGATGACTGGCTTGGAGATGACGACGGCATTCCCACTCACTGGGATGAGGGGAAGGATAGTAGGGGCGGTAGCGGACCTTTTGGACATAAGAAGAATGGACGCGGGGGGATTGGGCGGATTTGATTTTGTGGATTTGCATTTGCTCTTATGATGGAATGACTCTGGCTTGTAATTAAATAGTCTGAAGATGTGCAAGTTTAGTACCTAGCATGAATCGTTTTACCTGCGTGCTGTGCTTCTATTTGTGCTCTAAGCACCCCCAAAAACCAGTAGACTCTGAATGCTGACGCTGCCAAAACCTTCATTGTACAACAACTCTCTGCCCTTGTGAAATGGAAGCTCGGCCACAACCATCACAGAAATATTCTTCATCTCCACCCCGGCTTTGATCAATAATTTGAGTACCGCACAAAGTGTCTTTCCAGTAGCGAGCACATCGTCCACCACTACCACCTTTCCGCCCTTGGGGATGACACCGACCTCCATTTCAATCATGACCTCATTAGGCTCCTTATTTCCAGCTATACCTGAGATATGCGACACGTCCTTGGCCATGGAAACAACTGGCGGTGGCAGCTTGCCCCTCTCACGCACCAGAGCGAGCGGGACATCCACTTTCAACGCCAGTGCAGAAGCAAAGATGAAACCACCAGTCTCAACGCATACAATCGACGAGATTTGCGACCAACCACCAGTGAAATGTGTCTGTAGAAGAGATGTGCAGAGCGATAATCCACCAGGGGTCTGGGAGACTCCAAGGATATGACGAAAGTTGATGTCAGTCTTTGGAAAGTCAGTGATCTGGCGGACTATGTCTCTCAGACGTTGGAGGGATGGAAGCATGAGGGGCAACAAGTGCCTATTAAAAGCGGCTATCGCAGCGGACTTCCCTTCTGCATTGTTAGAGATCGTGATGCTGGGCGTGTGCTTCTCAGCTTTCTCATCAGTGGCACCGCTCGTCTCCAATCCCCGGCGAACCCGTCGAATCTTCTCACTGGCCTCGATTCTGACCTCCAAAAGCTTGCTACCAGGCACCAAGTGGGAGAATGCCACTACAGGCGTCTTGTCTCTCATGCCCGTGATGAACAATACATCGGAATCTGCACCATGTACCACCTCAAGGAAATGTTCCCGTGGGAGTTGAGGCCGTTCGTTAACTTGGTTTTGGAAGAACGTCGTCAATGCCGTTCGGTGCTGCTCCTTGTAGTCACGATCTTCAAGGAGGCGGTTCAAGTCAGCACCACTGGCTGTGGCATATGCGCGTTTAGTCGCTTCGCTTATGCTTGAGACACTCGATGTGATGCTGTTCTTGGTGAAGAGAGAGACCCAGACTCCAGCACAAAAGTCCTTACCAGCGCCGCTTTCACCGGTGACGAGGACGATGAGTTTCGGATCTTTAGGCGGTGCCGGGAGTGGGTAGGAATAGGCTAATACGTTGTTGGGGGCCCATCGCTGTTTGAGACGAGCAAGTCGCTGAAGGTTTGGCCCAAAGGCTTTGGCTGCCAGAGCTGCATCACGGGGGTCTGGCCCAAGATCGGCACTATAGGCGCCAGTACTGAGAGGCAGCAATATCTCAGCAATTTCATACACCCAGCACACAGCAGCTGTAGCCTGCTTACTCCCATCTTGATCACGAGGCCAAACACCAGTGATCACGCACGCAAAATCCCAATCTCTGCACCCAAACGCGGTGGCGTCTGCTGGCACGTCGTTGATGGCACCACCACCTTGGAGGAGATGAAGATAGCATAGTGGCGTAGGCCGGCTTTCGATGGCCTTCAACAAGATGGTGGTGATAGTATCCTCTCCAATATTCTTCAAGAACAAGCATCGCTTGAAAGAGGACGTCTTGCCACCCCCATGACCACCGTGCATCTCTGACATGTACATCTCAGTATCGAACACACCCATGCTATCCACAGTCTGAATGCCTCTCTCCGGTCCGAAAATCTTGTAAGCCCTCGTCAAAGCGATCAATGGGACGCAACTAGTGGCAGTGGAGGTCTCGAACATTGTTACGCCAAGATGCAACCGGTCTTGATTCCAAAAAAGATAGGCGTCCGCTGAGCAGCTCCTAGGCAGGGTTCTGGCAAAGAGGTTGTCAAACTCCCTCAGCTTGGCCCTGGCTGAAACCAAGTCGTTGAACGAAAGGACCCAGCTCCGCACAGTATATGTTGGAGCTGGACAGGCCTTGAAAGTGACACTGGCGACAATGCCAAAGTTGGTCCCAGCACCTTTGATAGCCCATAGCAAATCTTTGCCATCCACCTGCACTGCATGGGTAGGTCGATGCTGATCGGGAACATGACCAACGCTGAGAACCTTCCCGGAATCGACACTGACCACTACCGCACCGACAATTGCATCACACGCCAGTCCATAGAGCCGAGACAGATGGCCGATACCGCCTTGTAGCCAAAGCCCTGCCCCCACGCTGGGTCGCGGCCCAAGAGGCACTGTGAGACCGTCTGCAACACATCTCCGGATGATATCTCCAGTGCTGCAACCCGACTCAGCGACGATTAGG